GAACCGAGTTTCGTCGGTTTGCTTAATTAAGTCGTTTTAGGACACGATTCACGTTCTATCGCTTCTACATATTTCGCTAGTCGACACACGCGAACAGTATCGGGAGCGGATAGGCGAGCCCGAGAAACAGAAATTGGGAACGAAGAGATAGGAGAGGGCCCACCGGCGGTAAATCATACTTTCGGGCTTATGGAAAATTACGATTCGCCCGAGAATGCCAAATAATTCCAGGGTTAGCGTCGCTGTTGTTCCAGATCTGCTCACAGATGTCGGCGACAAAAATCATTCGAGTGAGTCTTTCTTCATCTACGAAAATCGAGATATCGATGGTTCGTGTTCCACGAAGGAAACTCTCGTTGAAAAATGTTCTTTGAAACAGACGAGGAAAATGTTGAAGAAAGGCCAGCAGATTTCGAGGCAGCCATCGCTGCGGCTGGTAGCGGAAAATTTCAATATCTCCTCCTTCTGGCTATTATTCCAGGCTCGTGGGCAACTAGTATCGACACCGCTAACGTGGCGATCATTCTTCCATCGGCAGAATGTGACCTGCAAATGACGTTCTTCCAGAAAGGTGTTTTAAACGCCATCACTTATATAGGTCAGTATTTTCAGTCTTACTAATAAACACATATTTATCCCTCTGTCTTAACGTTCTTGCGATTCTCTCAGGAATGGTTTCTAGTGGTTTTCTGTGGGGCTACATAGCTGACGTTAGAGGCAGGAGATCGGTCTTCCTCTACGGCTATCTGGCCGATGGTATCTGCAACGTTCTCTCAGGATTTTCCCAGAGTTTCTGGACTCTAGTTTTCTTCAAGTTCCTCAGCGGTTTCATGTGAGTCGATGGACAGTCTTTTGGAAAATTTCGAGTAAACAAGAGTAATTCTTTGGTTCAGAATAAGCGGCCCTCATGCTTCCATGGTGGCTTACTCGTCGGAATTCTACGGAATGAAAGGAAGAGTGAGAATCCCGCTTATCATTGGTTTTTCTATCACGTTTGGAAATATCGTGACTACAGGTACGATTCTGAACAACGTAACGTCGAGATGAAGCACCTGTTTACACGTTTCATCTCGCAGTTCTAGCGTGGATTATCGTCCCTCAAAACTGGTCTATCGTTTTATGGGACGGTGCGTTCGTCTACAATCCCTGGAGGCTCTTTCTGTCCGTGTGTGGTCTACCGATGTTGATCGGTGTAGTTTGTCTCTCCCTGTTCCCGGAGAGTCCCAAGTTTCTCATGTCTCAGGGCCGTATGGAGGACGCGTTGAAAGTTTTCAGGACGATCTATCGGATAAACACGGGGAAACCCGCGGAAGAGTACCCGGTGAGAAGTTTCGAACGGCAGTTCTGATAGTTTGTCGAATTTCGAGGGAACGATCGAATTAACGAAGACGGTTTCTGTTCAAGATACAACACTTAGGGAACGAGATTTCGGAGAAATCGAACGAAGAGGATCGAGATGAAAATATCGAGAAGAAAGCGATTTTCTTCTATCCGTATTTACCGCGAATTCTTCTCGTCGTTGTTATACAATTTGGATCGATGTACGCGTGAGTGTTCCTTTTTCTTCTCTGTTACGTGCGATAAAATGGGCCACCGTTCAGCTGTTCTGAATTGGAATTATATTGCTTTCGAGAAATAAAAGTAACAGTTCGTGACCTACTGTGAATGGAGTGTTGTTAAAAAGTAATTAAAAGGGAATGGAGGATTGATTGTGTCGTCAGAAGGCGGCAGTTGTGACGAACGACCACGTTCGCTTTATCTCGCGTGTAATAAAAGCGTGAAGCAGTGAAAACGTGACGTTCATCGAGGCTGATATGACGTCAAAACGAGACAATAAAATTTACCAAACAGCTGTGATTGAAGGAATCTCAATTAAGAAATGTCGCTGGTAAAGTAACGTAAACTGAATAGAAAAATATTTTATAGGTCGAACACGTTTCGTCTGTGGCAACCACAGCTTTTCACGATCCTCGAAAACTTCGTTCCAGCGAATTACAACTTGACAGCAGAACACTCTCCGACGTTTTGCGAAATTTTGGATCTCTCTTCCGCTCCAAACGCGACTTCCATGATTGCCGACGAGCACTCGATATGCGTAAACGTGAGGCAACGATTTTCCACGGACAAAACTTCCCTTTTCACTTCTCTAATTACACGTCACTTTTACACACATTTCAGAGTGTCGTGAATGAATCGGTTTACACGAACACGGTCATCGTAGCCATCTTCGGAAGCTTCTTACTCCTCGGTGCTAGCTTCGTACTGAAATACATCAATCACAAAATTCTACTACGTGAGTTAGAAAGAAATTCCACGATGTAGTCTATTTAACAACATTCAAATCGTCCTTTAATTACAGAAATTTGCTACGGAATTGCAATAATCTGCATAATTTGCATGAACTGGTCGACCAACAAATTGACAACCTTGTTACTCACGAGCTCCTTCATTGGTTTCACCAACACCACTCTCAACACCGTCGTTGCTGCAACCGTTATTTTATTTCCAACTGCTTTAAGGTTGAACAATCATTTTTAACACAATCGTGCAATTCTTATCGCTCACTTCTACCGGATGACTGTGAAAGTTCGCGCTCGATTTTCAGAGGTGGCGAGAACCTTATCGGCTTCGGCACAGATGTCTCTTTTAGCGTAATGTTACGTTCCTATCGAAAGATACACCGCTTATATTTTATTTTCAAATAATTATTCATCTCGTTTCATTTCAGTTTCGAATGAAATCTGCTTTTGCACACACCGATTGTGTTTTATCTTCAAATCACTATTCATCTCGTTCCATTTCAGTTTCAAAGGAAATCTGCGTTTGCACACACCGATTGTGTTTTATTTCCAAATCGGGCGCGAACTTTTGCAGTCATCCAACATTAAACACTCCATGAAACGACCGTTTGCACGCTGTTCAGTTAGGATTCTCTTCTAAAATTAGGGCGATAGCGGTGAGCCTGGTAATGACAATTGGAAGGCTCGGATCGATCTGTGGAAACATGCTGTTTCCAGTGCTACTGGACCAAGGATGCTTTGCACCGATGATCCAGTTGGCGTGCTTCATCTTACGTAAGCTTCACCCTCGCCGAATCCAACAATTTCCCTTCGAAAAATACTATAATTCATCGCCTGTTACAGTCTGCATCGTTCTAACGTGCTTCCTTCCGATACCGAAGAAGAAGGCCAAGGAATAGCCTCGTTGCGCAAGCGTCCACGAAATCAATTTACCTTCCATTCCAAGATAGAGTGTTCACCAGGCGATTCCTCGCCGGAAACCGCCGGAGTTTTCGCACTGGGAACTGGGCCAACGTGAAGAACGCCAGAGATGGGCAGAGGTCGAGGGATCGAAGGATGAGATAGATTTATATTACGTGACTGCGTTACGAGATTAAGCTGTGTTCGGATGAGAGAAGTTACAGTTGAGCAGAGATTTTTCAGTGTGCAGTGTTTCAAGTTGTTTGTAGATCGAGGAACTTTATCGTTCTTCTTAGATATTCTTACGTTGCGGATATTTCTAGGAGGAATTGAGATCTTCTTTCGAGATGGTATATTTATTTAGGTAGAAATTTAGGGGTCTGTTTCGTTTCTAAGTGTATTTATGAGCTAACTGTGGTGAAAATTTGATTAGAAGGTTGTGATAATTGGGAGAGATAAGTGATTACAGACATTTCGCTTCGCCTTGAACTCGTTCTTCTCTTTCAATTATGAAAGAATTGCGATTGGAATTTGGAAAACTGGGATCGCTGGGGACTATGCAATGCTTGTAATAATGTCTGGTTTGAATTGGAAGCAATTCTGTCGATTGGTTTTTCAGATATGTTCACTTTACGAGAGCCTGTTAACAAATACACGTTCGAGCTTCAGACTCGGTATATTTTAACTCGCGTAACTTGATTAATTTTTAATAAAATTCGCCGAATATACTCTCCTAACTTCAATCTTCAACCCTTTATAACATTGTGCGACTTTAAAGTTATGCATCGATTCATCTATATTTTACAAATTTCATTTAATTTATTTATTGCTGTACTATTACACTGTCACCAATCAATTTTCTTATTTCCTAATTCCCTAATAATAATTTAAAAAAAAATGTAACATTCCAACGAACTACAATCTTTCTTCTCAGAAACGACGAGAAATCGCGTTACAAAGGGTTAAGAACGAGAATATCGAATGGATGTAACCCCCTTTGAAGAAAGACACGCTGCTTGACGCAACACGAACGCGAATAAAAACAGAAACAGGCAGAACGAGAGAATAATGGTAGAGAGAGGCGATTCATCGAAGCAAGAAAGCAAGAACAACGACAACCACTGTGTTACACAATGGGACGGCTGGATATTTCCAGACGGACACTCTTCACGGTCGCGTTGCAGCGGCAGAGGGAGGTGGATCGATCTCGATTTAAAACGATGATCGGCCATGTCGAGGACGAAGCTTGGCGTTCCTCAGGCCGCTTGTACACGCCGCGCCGCGAACAACACATGAGGCTGCCACCGAGGGGCCTTGGGTTTCACTTTCGACACATCCTGGAGAGCCCTCCGCAGCCTTCACCCACATGCTCGTTCTTCTCGATCCCCCTTCGCGTACGGTAGAAGAGAACCACCACGAGCACAGGCGTTTCGTGTGGACGCGGCATTATCGCGCGCCCAGAATCTCGACACCTTCGCGGCGGCCACGCTGATCGAGTAATTACGCGTGTCCATAAAAGTTCTGCGCGCGTATTACAATGAGAGAAAGCCAAGGCGCCTCGAACGTTGCGCCGCGGCGTGTATTTTCAGCAAGGTACCAATCAACCTTGATATCTCGCCATTCTTTCCATTTTCCCGGCGTGTCCCGGAAGATGTTTCGCGAATTTTTTTTATGCGACCAATGGAACGTTTTTTAAGGGTATTTTTGAGCTTTCGTCGCGTGACATTTGGACGCCCGGTGTGCTTCCAATGACGATCTTCGTGACTGAATGGCAAACCTTTTGATTCGGTGAAACTTTACCATTTTTTAACGATACTTTTGCTTCTCTCTCGATGTTTGCACGCCTGGTGTTTTCCAGCTGGTTTTATTCGCGAAATGCAATATTTTTGATTCGCTGTTACTGATCTCTCGAAACTTTACCATTTTTCACGATACCTTTGGACACTCGGTGTGTCTCAAAAGATTCCATTCGTGACTCAATGACGAATTTTGTTTAGTGCGACGAATGGAACATTTTTTCACGATACTTTTGATGTGAACACTCGGTGTGCCCCGTAAGATTTCATTCGCGATTGAACATCAAAAGATTCCATTCGTGACTCAATGACGAATTTTGTTTAGTGCGACGAATGGAACATTTTTTTCACGATACTTTTGATGTGAACACAAATTTTCTTCATTGCGTTACATGGAACATCTGCTTCGGTGTTACGATCCATCTTACAAGATTAGATAGGAAACTTAAGAATTTCCATGCAAGAGAAGCAACAACGTTGCAATGATATACCGTTAAGCAGATAAAACAAGACTTCAAAGAACTATGCTCAAACAACGACTTAAGTTATCTTGGTCGGATAAAAGGTAACTTATTCAATGAAATGTTCAATGAAATATTAGCAAGAATGTTTCATTTCCTTCGGTAGATCGATACAGGTGTTGCGTGGAGAATACTCTATTTGTGGTTGTTCATTTACTGTGTGAATCGCACGATTAGTTTGATCACATGAACCATTCTCAAGAATTTCGTTTACTTATATAATTCACCGATATTAGTATTTGTAAGTATAACTAAGCCGTTACAGTTACCATCTGCACGCGAAGAAAAAGCATCATCAATATTCATACAAACTCTCCGGAGTAGAAATTCAATTTAATTGAATGAACGGTACCCGAGAAATGCCAATTAATGCTACCTGAACAAACAACGATTCTCGATATTATCCTTCGAAACGACGCATTGTACGCTGAGGAAGTACACTTCATCCGTGCATCTTACTTTCCTCGTGGAAAAGTAAAGAATACCATAGTTGAAATGGTATTTGCCGCGAGAATACCGCGAGGAAAGAAACTTCGAAAGTGGAAGAATTGACTCGCACACTCTGGTGTTTTGCAAGAAGCACGAGAAATACTCATGGTGGCGCCTAAGACGGCATTCCGAATAAATTGCGGAAGGGAAGCGCGAGCGGTGCACGCGTGTCCGAGGAAAAACGTGTTGGCATTGCTTTGGCGTTTTTCCCTCCGTTGCGTTCGCCTTTAACAGCCTGGGCATTGTTACGAGGCTGCCAGACAGTTTACGCAACGCGATTATTCTCTCCTCTTTCGAGAATTTGCGGACTTATCTAACACACCGCTTCTACTTCGCCTTCTTACCCTGCCTTTGCACGTTCGATCTGCGATGCCCGGTTTGCTCCAGTTCCTCGAAACTGGGAGCAGATATTGGGGTATCGCCGAGTTAAAAGGAAATGGAGAAAACAGGGCTGTTTAAGGGTTCTGGGAAGACTATGCAGGATGAGTTGAGAAGGTGAAGAGTAATGGTGAAAGTGGGTGACTAGTTGTAAATACAGATCGAACGATAGAATTTCCACGTTCTACGCGAATCTCTGTTTTTTCGTCGCGTAGTATTGTTAACACCTTATCTACGCGGTGACGCGGCCTGACGTCAAACGGCAGACTTCTGATACCGGATGACGTCAGGCGACGTTAAATGCAACAGCTTGCACGCGCGAGCGTTTCGATTAATACTGTTCAGATTTCAATGGTTTAACGACGAACTGGAATTTGTAATTATCCAGCTGATTGTTGCGAAATATAGATATTTAAATTCAGTAAAGCGTTCGATTTGTTCATAAGAGAAAAATTGTAATTGACTGCAATTTTTAATTTGAAATCAAAATTTTGTAAGAAACACGGAAAACTTTCTTCTAGAAAGAAAAATGATATTTTATTATTTATTCTAACGAGATAAACAGACAGGCTGTTTCACGATTTGCACAGACAGACTGACTCACTTTTGTTGCTCGCCGAAACTTCTCGGTTATTCCAAACAAACAAAAGTGAATATGTTTATACGTATATCTTCTGCGAAAGAAATAGAAAGTTCGTTACAATTTATAATTAGTATTGATAAATTAAAGAAATTGATCGAATAGCGCTTAAAATTTCCATATCAAGGGGTAATCGATGTTACAGTGATAAAGAAATTGATCAAACATTTGAAATTTCCATATCAAAGTGTAATTTACGATGCGGCGATAAAGGAATTGATTAAATAACACTTAAAATTTGCATGTGAAAGGGTCGCAGGAACTCTCTAAATATTTTTACCTCTCGTGTTAATCGAAGCAATCAACACCGTGACTATCGATAACGTGTTAATTGCGAAAGAAAACAATTACACCGATCTAACCACCGATTCGACACACGAATCGAGAAACGTACGATAAAAGGAGGATCATAGAGGAAAGAAAACAAGATAGATCAAGTGTGTCTTGTGAGAGCGATCCTCCCGAGTTGGCCCACGGTTCTCTAATCATTCTCTACGGACACGAAGACGTCGTATCGCGATTTCACGGCCGCGTACGGCCGCCAGCAGCCAGTCGCATCGGAATCGCCCCGATACTGTTAACTCTTCCCGCAAAATTCTCGAATCATCCGCGCATCCGTTCCTCCTCTCGCTCTCTTTCTTCTCTCTTTTCTCTTCTCTTCTAGCCTGTGCACGCGAAAACGACGTTTCGCAGCCGAGAGTTGGGTGCTCCGCTCGCAAATCGTGGGAGGACGACACGCTTTGGGTAAATGTAATTTGTTATTGCGACCACAGCTACCGAGGTTTCCTCGAATACACTTTGTACTCGGTTGAATTAACGTGAAATTGCGTTTCAACCGTGAAAAACTCGTGGTTCGTTGTGATTTGCTGTTTTATTAAAGGTAGGTTTATGAGAGAGTAATGTTATTATTCTCGTTCTTATTAATCAAAAATTAAATTTGTTTGAAATTTTCAGGATAACTGAAGAAGGTTTGGTTTTTTTTTGTTTAGGTCGTTTCTCTATGCATCGTTTCGAAGAAGCGGACGCAATAAACTGGAGAGCCTCTCGTCGAAATGGTAAAAGGACGATCTTCTAGGCAAGACACTGAGAATGTCCCCGGGAAAAGACGAGGAAGGTGTAAAACGACCGCCCTCAGGCTGAACAACCGCGTTCTCTAGCACACGATCTTTACCCTTTAATTCGTAACGTGCCGCCACTGAGACGCGGATTTCATTCGATGCTGATGAGATTAGTGCGTCCTCCTTTCAGTTTTCACGGAAATAACTTCTCCTGGGAAATAGTGTTCCTTTAGTAGAACAAAAACTGCGAATTTTCACC